TATATAACTGGGCGAACTGCTGCCCAAAAATATTTATAGTTCAAAAACTGCCCAGACTAAGGCCGATCGATTGGTCTTCGCTGTTTATCGCCGATAGAAGAATTATTTAGAATGCTGACTTGAAATGAGACTCCCGTCGTANGGCTTGCTTTTACTAGACGTGCGCCTTTTTAATCTATCGTTCCTGGTAAGAGGTTTTGCTGCGGATAGATTAAGAATTATTCTGTCGCTTTGTTTTCCTGCCTGCTCTTCCCACTCGGGTAAAGATTTCCGCTAATTTAAGCTCACTAGAGGGTGGATTTCTAGAACATTTCATTCCCTCAGGCTGCCCTCTCGAAATTGTAGTCCTACTATTGATTGTTTCTCCAAGTTTATGCGTTCCTGCGTACTATCGCGTAATTGAAGTAGTCATGGGATTCGGGAAAGTGCAGAAAAGGCGTGAACTGAATGAACTTGGCGGGCTATATAACTGGGCGAACTGCTGCCCAAAAATATTTATAGTTCAAAAACTGCCTAGACTAACGGCCGATCGATTGGTCTTCGCTGTTTATCGCCGATAGAAGAATTATTTAGAATGCTGACTTGAAATGAGACTCCCGTCGTAAGCTGCTGGATATGCATATTAAACGCGCATTCAAATACTTTCGTGATTTCAAATGGAAGTAGAACGCCCGGCCTACTCAAATGTAATTGATTAACTTGATGTTCTTTGCTTGTTGATTGATTGTTATTACTTTTTTTAAACTCATCCTCTCGAAGATCCTGACTAAAGATTAATCGCTCATTTCTAGTTCATCCTCTCGAAGATCCTGAATCCATTTGGTAAATATGAACGACATCACAGCTCCGTTTCCTCATTCTGCTCTTCCCATCCCCATAATGGAAGTGAATGAGTCTGAAATATGTCGTCATTCCACAAAGACGGCCTGTTACCGTACACGTCACTTTTTTGAGTGGTAAAGTAGAGTTGAACGAGCCCTTTGTAGGTAGTGGAACCGTAACAAACATAAACTGTAGACAATGACTGATTATTACAGCATGCAGTACTTTTAATCTATTTCTGTCCACTGATTTCTAAAAGTTACAGTATCAATAAGGGAGAGAATGAAGAAGGCTTTGAGGAATGGTGTATCAGCTGAAAGCAGGGTTTGGCAAGGTTCTTACCCAAACTTGGTACTTTTGTCCCTATTTTCCCTATTTTGACTGTAGAACTGACTAAGCATGAATATGTGCAGCTGCAACTTTTTTCTATAAGTAATTTTATGCCTATCGTGTGTGTGGCTTGGCTACCTAACAATTCTTTGATCCACAAAAATGGCAGTTATAGGTATATAAGCAAATTTTCTGAACATCCAGTATATGATCTGGGATAATCGCAACGAAAAGCCGATTCGCATCACTAAAAGACGTAGGGTGGCAGACGCCCCCGAATCTTAAAATCGGGATGGATTAGCAAATTTGCTTGATTAAGAGCGCTGAATAGTCTTGCGATGGGGGCCCGACATGGGGTGATCGCTTACCTGACCGAAACGACCATCATTTCAACGACTGCGAAGAAGGCGTGACTTAACACGAACCATACAAACAAGTCAACGCAGTATAAAAGACGCGCTGACGGGCTCCCACGTGGGGTCTGCACCATGTGAGGGGTTCCCCGCTCATTCGCGCCTGTTCGCAACCAGCAGCTGCCTCCAGTCGACGCCAACAACGTTCTCCAGTCACATTCATCATAAGAGCACGAGATTTACTTGCGTGTGAGCAACTGTGAAGAAACGCCAACTCCAAAAACCTCTTGTAGTTCTTGCGTGCATTCCAAGCTGCCCTTTTACTTCCCAGCTTTAGTCGTAATTGAAGTTTCTATTGTTGCCAACGCGGTATAAAAGACGCGTGCTAATGATCCCTCGATTTCCCCGAAGTCCTTATTCGTGGCCTTCTTTTACCTCTTCCTTGGTGTTCTTATATCGATCATTTCTTTCGTACAAACCTTCCTCCGAATGTGTTTCTCCTTTGATATCTCCAGATTCAACAACTGAATCTCATGTGTTCCGAGCTCATGGGCTCAAAGTTACAACGACGAGCCGGGGAACAAATCGGCGGTTTTTGTAATTGAGCCTTGTTCCCAATAGTTCGATAGTACTAATCTGTTGTCGTAGCAAGAAGTGTTGTCAAAGCGAGTGGGTCGGGTTGAGCCACGCCGTCGCCTGGGGTGATATCTGCGCGTCTGCCGTACGCCAATCTCTGCTACGGACCAGTGCTGTCTGCGTAGAGGTTTCCGATCGGCATCGTGCTCATCTCTAAGGCCTCTACGACCGTTATCGCCTCTATATCGCAGCGTGCTACCGCCACATGTTCACCACTGCTGCTATGGACTTTGTACCACCACTATATCATTCCTTCAGTCTACTTTTCATTCGGTTCAACTTCATTTGAAACATCATAGACCCTCTGACAGACGACTTTTCTCCATACCTGTCCGATAGATTCAATTTTCTAACTTTTTGGGCTCTCTAGTAAAACTTCCAACACAGAGTTAGAAATTACTTATTAGAAGGAAGCCAAGACTACACGAATGTTAGGATGGTTTTAAAGGCCCCCGACTGATCTGTTAAGATCTGGTGATGGAGTACGAAAAAATTTGCATCGCCAGGGTCGCCTAGTATGGTGGGTAAAGCACAGGGACTACAACAGCTAGCTCTGATTGCAATGGTAGCCCAACAAGGGCAAATGTCATGCTGGGTTGTCCTGCTTTTCTCGGTCGCCATTTGCAGCAAAGGCCTTCAAAGATGACAACCGTGCAGTGTAACGGCGCAGACTGCCCAGACTCTTCGGCGCTATTTGCTTTGAACTTCTCGTATGTCGAGATGTTCCCAGTCCCTCTCTTACTCTCTCATTCTTTCTGTGTCGATTATCGTCGTGTGTTTCGTCCTTATCGGTATACAAACAGAACGTAGTCACTGTTGCTTCTAACCTCCCTAGTCGTGTCCCTACTTCCACGTTTTCCACAAAAATCGTGTTTCAGAGAGGCAAAATGATGTTCGAGATCGAAGAGGAACCCTTGGAACCGACGGAAGATTCCCCAAAACCAGTCATTGAGAATGCTTTCCGATTTTCGCTGAGTCGGTCGTCTTCAACTGATTCGCTTACGATCGACACTGATGATGAACCTATGCGCCCACCTTCACCTACTGCTGTACAGGTACGTATGAAGAGCATTAAGGCCACGAGTTCTGACTATGAAGTTATCAAGTGGGTACATCTGTTATTCCGTTCTTGCTCCCGCAACACTTCGCCAGAACGCTTGGCTCTTTTCCTGACGCAGTTACCGTCAGGCTAATGAGGAGTTTTAGTAGACGAACGAACATTTTCCCAGCCAACGCTCACCTCATAAACTAGCATCCGCCTTTCTTGATTTAAAGTTTTTGTTAGAACAAAAACGCTAAAGCTGTCTGCAACTAGCTCACGATCAGCTGTGCTGTTATTTTCCTCAAGCTGTTACAGCGTCATGTAATCTTTGGTTGTTAAATTTTACGATCAGCGCCGAGAGTGGACATGCCCAAACGATTGAGACAGCAGTACAATTCAAAGAATATCAGGCTCCGCACTTTACTCAACGGTTACTAGTTGTGTCTACGAACACCCAAGAATCCATCTGCTCAGCGAAGTTCCACAGCGAATCTTTGAGAATATTTGGCAACCTTCGAGCTCAAAAAGTGTTCATGCCTACTGTAACACTATTTTCCTTGCAGGTCTTGGGGGTACCCAGCAAATTGCCTTTGTAATCATATTTTATTACCCTGCATATATGTAAATAGCAAGTCACGTAAACAATGATGATGTTTATAGTGCAACGAAGGGCACTCTTAACGGTGTAAAGTCTCTTTTTTGCATAAAAACATCAAATCCAAGCATCAGTTGGCAGAAAGTGTAGTGAAAGGCCATTTGTTGTTCGCGTGGGCGTCACCCATCACAGAAATTTCCTTGCAGTGACGGGATGGGGTTGAAAACTAAACACTGCTTTTGTCATTACTACTTACCAGCATTGAAGTGGCCTTAGCAAGTCTGGAGCAATGATTGAGAGTAAGGAGTTCTAGGTAAACACCTATTTACTCCTTCTCATGAAGAACTGCGGAGACGCCTATTTTCTCCTCCTTACGGAGAGCCAGTAAGACTAACAGGTCCAAGGACTTACAGTGTCTAATCGAACAGGAATGGAGAATCATGATAAATTCCTGGCTATGCTCCAAACGATTCTCCAGTTGTCCTTTAATATGCGTATGTTGAGGATGATGTCAGCCTATTACCACGAAAGTACACTCAGTATGTCGAAAACATGTAGTACGAATAGGGAGGCAGCCATAGAGTACAGAAGTACCCAGGGTGAGGGGAACATGCGCGGCGCGTCAATGAGTGTAAGTACAACACAATCGTCCGATGCGTTTTTCGAGATTGACCTTCGAGCGTGGAAATCCCACGAAGTTCCGGGACGTCATGTGACAAATGACAAGCAGGAAAGTGCGTCAAACAACATTAAAACATGTTCACAGGGATTCTCAAGGGTGTTCACGTTCCACAGAACGCTCAGAGAACAAAACCTCGCTGAATTAAGAAACATGAAACAAGGACGAAGAGAGAAGCGGAATTTTCCAGGGAGCACGTGGTGAATGAAAAATATACACAAGTGTGACCCAAATTATTCGGTGTTAATCAATCTTTTCGAAACTTCTCCGCTTTCACTTGGGACCACAAGGACCCTTCAATGCCTGCGATACCTGGCGCAGTGATTTGGAGTGTGGTGGAAGAGCTTCAGTCTTCTGACAAGAGCCTCTTCCATCAGGCATGACAAGTGTCGTATGGTGCAGGGGAATTGAATTGAACGCCCTATTTCTGTAGTTTACCTAACAATGATCGACTTCGTCAAAAGTGACTTCTAAATAACCAACTATAGCCCAGCTAAAGCCTGAAGGGATCCCATTCTCACCAAGTAAGATTCCACAGAGGCTTCTAATGGTCATCCCTGGCGCAATGAAGCTGACTCCAGTGAACGTTATCACATGTGTAAAGTTCTTTTCGGATTAAACTTCGTCATAGAAACCTTCAATCATCCTTGATGCATTTTTTTTAACTGTGCTTGCGACGTAACTGTGAGAAATGGCGTTAGGGTGGGTGGCCTGGATCTCTGGGGCTGTTTCTAATCGAAAATCGGGGATTAGGCTGCTCTGACCAAAGCTGTATTGTAATGAAAATGCCGATTACAGTCTGTGGATCCACAACCACCTAAGTGTAATCCCAAGTTCTTTCAGTTGGGTAGCGATATCGCGTTGAAAGCTTGAGGTGTATGGCTTCCGATCCCTTGAACTCCAGGCTGTAGTTTTGAATCCTTTACTGAATTTCGTTTTTCAGCGATCTCTATGTTTGAATGCAACGAGCACATTAGCTGTTGACATTGTTGACTCAGAGGACGATCTCAGCCCAACCTCGAATCAAAAGAAACTTTGCTTGTGTGCCAGCATCAACGCGATGGAGGTCAGCCCAGTAGTACATTTACCGTACCACTCCATAATTAAAAGTTCTATTTATCGTTTACTTTGGAAATTCAGACGCAGGAACGAGGCCAACGTTCGAGGAAATCAAGCCAGAGCGCAACCTTCCCTTACCATACTCATCCAGTCACTGAAGATTACATCGTCTCTCATGAGGTAACGTCAGTGATCGACTCCACTTATCGAATGCAACCTGATCCATCTTCTTTCAGATTATCGGGATCGGTGAATCTGGCAAGGTGATGGCTTGCTACAATAAGGACACTAATGAGAAGTTCGCACTGAAGGTACTTCGTGACGGACCAAAAGCTCGCCGAGAAGTCAGCCTGCATTACCTCACAAAGTAGGTTTTTGATTTTTCTATGGGAGTACTTCACATTGGTTCTTACTTGGTTGAAGTTGAACCCAAAGTCGATGCCAAGGCTCATGAATATTCAGCTTTCATGAGGTATCCGACATAAACTTGAATCGATCCAGCTAGTGGATGGCATAAATACAATCTAATGAGAGCTCTTCTATGTTTGTATCAGAGCGAATTTAAGAAATACGACTAATTAGTGGAGAATACCTATTTTTAGTAAAGAATACTCATGTTTTCAAAAGTCACGGAGCTAGATATAAAACGACATTTCTGAATTATTACGCCGTGCTTTCGAGAACTCTCAAAATTCGGAAGGTAGCCCAGGCTATTACTAGCAAAATGATTCAAATTGTGAGCAAATCATTTTCCATCATTTTGGATGCCGTTATTTCAATCAACTCATTGAATGACTGGCAAGACGACGGCCAATCCTTTGTAAATTTGACTAGGTGCTCTTCTCCACTTGGCTCGTGTTTTTTCGGAATTGATTTCAATCTGAACATTGGACCCTCATGGGAATGTTTCTTATCAATCAGTGATCTAAAATCTGGGCTTCAATAGGAAAAACAATCTTCAAGACGTTGCTTGATTTATGAGCGAATGTTGTTGACAATTTCCATAGTAGACCTTAGATCAGTGACAGCTTCATGTTGTTGATAACAAAGAAGAACTACTCGATGGCAACAATTAAAACTGATTAATTAAGTGCTCACGACAACGTGGTAACAATTATCGACATCTACGAGAACACATTCGATGGAGTGAAATGTCTTCTGATGGTTGTCGAATTCTTGGAAGGTGGTGATCTGCTAAGTCAGTTCGAAAATCAGGGCAGCAAGCCATATCCAGAAAAAAGTGAGTTTGTTCGGAACTACTTCAAGATCATTACCTCAAAGCACTTAAGCTTCCTTTCTTTAGCCACCCTTAGTACAGGTAGATCTTGTGAGTCACACAGGCTAACCACACCCTGTGAAAACCTTGAGATAAAGGGCACCTGCAGCTGCAAGAAACAAATTTGTTGCTCGGTTTCTGGGATGCTGGCGTCATTTGCCAAAATTCTAGGTCCCAGACATTAATCAGGCTGACTAGGTGACGTACAGCATCCAGGCCATGAGATAAAGTCCCATTGTTTTTTGTAATTTTGAAGTTGTTGACGCATTAGCGGTATGAAGCGTTCTATGTTGCAGTAAACAAAGGATCTTTCAGAAGTTGGGGAGATTATACGCCAGATCGGGTCGGCTGTACAATATCTTCACGACATGAATATTGCACATCGGGATATTAAACTGGAAAACATTTTGTGCAGGTAAGCTTACATTGCCTTCAAACCCCAGACAAACTTTGAAGTCGACAAATGTTCATTACCTGAAAATTTTAGTTCTACGGGTGATGATTGCGTGTATAAAATCGGAGACTACGGGTTTGCTAAACGACCTGAACGGAACGTGCTAATGGAATCGCCATGCTGCACTCCGTATTACGCGTAAGTTTTGTCGCATTGTATAAACTCTGCTTCAGTCCAATCACCTTTCATTATCACTCATACGTTTTAGACCTCCTGAGGTGCTCAGTCGTGAACGCTACGACAAATCCTGTGATATGTGGTCCCTCGGTGTTGCCATGTACATACTGTAAGCTATTTATTGGTTTTATTTTATTGGCCCCATATCAAAAATGAACACTCGTGCAACATAGCGTCGTACCTTGTGGACATCTTGTGGCTATCAATATCGTATCTGTTAGGAAAACATCAAAAAAGAACCTATGCGTTACACCATGCGGAACGCTCTCATGTGTACCTATCGACCAAAAATCTTTCGATAACGAGCTTCTCATAGACCTGATAAGCTGACAGATACAGACTCGATCGCGGAAAAACGTGACCCATCAAACTGCCTAAACCTGAGGCAACGCCTTTTTGTTTCTAGAAGAGGAAGGGACCAGTAGCAAATCGTCACCCACTGGTTTTCTCAATTCCCAACACCTGAGAGGTAGGTAAAGGCAGGCTATATCCAGTTCCTTCTGTGATGCGTCCCCCCTCCTCATTCCCTTTGCCAGGAATCGTGAGATATTGCCTGAGGATTAGGTCTTTACAACGTTTATAAGGTCCAATGGGCTGGGGCTGCTCACACCCTCCACATCCCTTACGTCGATGATTGAGTGGATATGATGGACAACGCATGGTGTAGCGTATAATGAACGACGAAAACTCTAAAATCATAATATTCTTCCATCCGTTACTTGTTTCGGATACGATATTTTGATGAGACGAGATGTTATCTACCAGAAAGGTGGTTTACAGACTATGCGGTTATCCGCCGTTCTACAGCATGAAAGGTCTAGCCTTATCGCCGGGCATGCGAAATCGAATATCGAAGGGATACTACGCATTTCCGCCGGAGGAATGGGACCACGTGTCTCAATCCAGTAAGCGCACACACAATCCGCTCTAGTCACCCTTTTCCTAATGCGCCCGCCGGCGCCGCCCCGCGCCATACGCTGCGTTCGTTCATGATTGCGATCTTGAGCTCTGGACTGTAGCCATCTTGGCAACTGGCGAATGAGTGGAATAATGTTCACGTAGTTGAGACGGATGATAGGAAACGAACGACTCTATCCTCTCGATACTATGTGACAGTACTTCACTACATCGCAAGGTGCCAAACATGGCTGTAGCCTTATTGTTCTGTATGGTGGTGTTTGTTGTGAAACGCTCAGATCCCAATCATGAACATTGCACGTACGACACGAAGCGACTCTTCAAGGGTCAATTCTGAACTCTCGTTGCTATCTGTTCGTCACCTGTTTTGTCCATTCTCTCTCTCATCTAATCCACTCATCTTTCAGGGTAGTTGCCTCGCAATCACTTAAATATTTAAAAAATTATTGTCATTTTTTCAGCGAAAGATGACATTCGTTCACTGCTCCGAACAAATCCCTCAGAACGAATGACTATCCATACACTAATGAACACACCACTTGTTACCGGTGAACAACTGCCCGAAGGAATTCCAATCCCCGGTGTAACTGAAGAAGATGAAGATCAGGTAAATCCTATTCATTTATATGGACTATTTTTAGCTCAACTCACAGTAGAAGGTAGAGTGAGTTGCACATTTCTCCAAGGCTGTATAAGTTCCCGGATAAGGTTCAGGATTATCGCTATCGGGAGTGAGAACGCCCGTCATGCACTGCTGCGTTAAAGTTCCTATTCGTGCTTATGGGAATCTTCACAGAGTAGAATTTTTGGATAGTCTACGAGTCTACGATTTTCGTTTCGGAAAAATCGGTGTTCCTATCGACATAAGATTGAATGGCTAGCCATCTCCGGAGGGCTCGGAAATTGGTAGGCGCAGATAGTCGAGAGTTCGTGATTCGTGAGCAACACCTCCTCTCAACATTACTGCTATCCTGCACGAAAGATTACTTAGTGAGGGCTCGTATAGTGCCCCGTCATTCAGTGTTTGTGCATGCAGTTCCGGTTGTGCTTTATTATTACTATAAACACCAAAATAATAAAATGAAATATGGCCTTTCAGGTTCTCGAAGAACCGGTTGTCGTGCCACGTAGTGTACGGTTTTTGAGAGATGGCGTTAAAGCGCCTCGCCTACACAGCATTCAGGTCAGTATCGAAATTGCCTGCAAATGATCGAAGATTGACCACCTTCCCACAAACTGCCGATTTTCAGGAAGAAGTTGGTCGTGCATTGGATATGATGCGTCTTGGTAATGACCTCGTCTTCTTGAAAAGCCCTGTATCCTCATGCAACAGTCTTTTGGTACGACGTACCACTGCACATCTAAGCATACCACGGGTTCAGTGCTGACGAGGAAATCAACCAAGATACCTCGTTAGCCTTTCTCAACTAGAAAACCTTTAGTCGTCAATTGATGAGTACAGGTAGAATCTCGAACATGCCTCATGCCTCTCCATTAGTTTTACTTGATAGAGTCTTTACTCTAATATGCCTTCTATATTGTGAATCCTTTTACATATTCAACTACTTCTGTTTGTAGGACCCCTCAGGGACTTAAAAACATTAGGGTCTAGGGTAGTTAGATCAAAATCAAAGTTGTTTAGATGTTTTACAAAGCATGTTTGAGTCGGTTATGTTGCTTAAGTACAAACAACTGCCTAATGTAAATATTCCCCCGTAATATAATACATTTTGACCACATTTTGTATTAAACCAGACGTTTTTGCCATGATGGCAGAATGAAGATGAATTATAAATGTTTTCGTTTCTCGTACAGTACTTGAACAAACGTTGCATGACCTTACCACTATCAGTCAAACATAGAATGAGCTTCTTGAGATGTTATAATGATCAACGAGTGTCTAATGATGAGGGGTAAGAAAATTTCATGGAGAATCTCAGAAATTTCATTTTCAAAATTTTTAACTTCAAAAATTAAGCAAAACATATAGTAACAAGAAAAAATTCCATCACCTTCTAATATGCTCTAATTGTGCTAACAATGTCACCATTAAAAATAGAATAAAAACTACCAGTAGAAAAAACCAAAACCAAAAAAAACAAACTTTGCCAGAATAGCCTACCATTCTAATGCCCCTGTAGTTCTCCTTTGCGTATCACACGCTCGCTGCTACAGTACAATGGCCTACCCATACTGCTGTGTAACATATGTCGTATCTTCGAAGAAGGTCCCTTCCTATGCATCACATGATAATGGGTAGTAGGAGACGTTACCAGCTTTGCTGCTTTCAAAGTGTTGAATTCGAGATGCAACCTACCGCCAACACCGCGCATGCGACGCACTCGACCGTCATTATGCTTGCTCCATTAGGTTTTCAATGATTCAAGCAAAGATACCTAGGATGGTTAGAAAGAAACTGAAAAAAAAAAGATTTGCCTCCAGAAGGCGGAAACCCCACTCGCTATTTCGATTATCACCGGAACTTTGTTTCCATGTAGTTTCTTCAGCGATTATCTCAGAAGGAACAGTGGGATGGGTCTTTTAAAGGCACATTTCACGATAATTTTTGTGCACCTAGTTTAAGACAAATATTGGGAGCGGTGGTTTGGATTAGTGCAGGTGGTAAAGAAAACGATAAGATCGGTACCATGAGAACCATAAAGCTTTACAAAGCAATGAAAATATTGGTGAAGAGGAGATCATGACGACAAAGGTGGGATGGAAGAGTATTTAGACCAGAGTCAGTTCGGTGCTATTGGGTAACGAAGGCTACAGCAAGCCAAATAGATCAAAGGTGTGGCATACAGTGGATACAACCATAGTGGAACCATAGTGAAGCTAACCGGGCCGCATCCCGACCGGACAGCGCCACATATGATATGCATGTGGGCCCGTCAGACTCGTCCTAGAGGTAATCGGGACTATGCCTTTGAACAAGAAGATAAACAAAAATGTTTTTAGCTTTGCTTAGCTTTGGTTTTATCGTGGTAAGTTAAATGACGGGCGGAGGTGGTGTAGTGACAAGTGGCGCACTATATCACACGCACGGTCGCGGGTTCGAGCCCCGGTCGATATCCGCCCAATTGCAAGCCAACCAAGCCTTCCACCCCTCGGGGTCAGTTTACTAGAACTGGACGCGCTGGCCACCGCAATTCATTGTATAGGCCCCATACGCACTCATTACGCCACTACGATTCTGAATGGAAGTCGAGTGCAGGGGCGCATCCCTCACACGGGATTGATTACGCCAAAAGACTTTAACCTTTACCCTTTTAAGTTAAATATCTATGATAGCGGCTTAACCAACTTCGTGAAATGCAAAAGCGAAACTCAAAAAAAAAATCGAGCCAATTCTTCAAAATGGAAGCAATGCATGTAACAATGTGTAGAACAAGTCACTCTTAAACTTCATTGTGGTAAAGTAAGGCATGCGAGATCACTAGGAACAAATTATAGACAATGTAAACATCAAATACCCATGTTTTCCTTATTTTCCGTCAAGTCATGGGAACGTAACTCGGCAAATTTTACGCATAGATTTTCCAGGCGTTTCTTCAGTACGGTGAGTTCTTCTTTGCTGAAATGTCACGAGAAATTGTGCGGTTTTATTATGTGAACATATGTCGAAGAACAAATTACTGTAACAACTTACCCATGCTCAAGGATGAACAAATTAGCACCCATTGAAGCAGTGAAGGGTCGTGCTGTACCACGAGTTTCCCTCTCTAGTTGAGCAGCTTCTATTGAGAGCTGGAAAAAGTAGTTATGCGACAATTTTGCATCAACCGCAGTTCGGTGCGATTATAAACGCTAAATCTCTGTAGGAAAGTCCGAGTTCGCTAACACTGGAAGGGTTAGTACCTAATGAACCCTCGCGGGATTTCCTCACACGGAAAACTCCACGAATTCAAGGAAAATGCTTTCGAAGTTAATAATCAAGAATAAGAGGGCGGGGATTTTCCGCTTCTTCTCCCTATGAAGCGCTTTCGCGGATGCAGTGTTTCTTCTCTTGCCAGCGCTTCCAGGCGGCTCCTCTGTCGCACATTCATTCAGGACTTCATTCTTCCAGGATCACTTTCACTGCATTCTCGGAATCCACCTGAATTCTTTCCAGCGTTGTTCTTGCACACAGCAGGAGTACCTTCAAAGCGTTGCTCCTGGTCTAGTTAATCATTTAGTCGTAATTTGGGAAACCACCTTTAAGCACCTCCGCATGAAGTCATATTTTCCTATTCGGTGCAGTTTCCACCACCGAAACACCCTTTCGCGCCCTTGTTTTCGTAGAAGCTCCATGAGTATGTCTGCTAGGACTGCAGAGCCAGATCTTCGCTGGGGAGCCAGTCCTGCAGTCCCTTGGATAAGTTCCTATTTTGAAGGATCATCTTCCCTAGAGTACATGGTCGAATTCCGTTTGTCTTCAAACTTTGCTGAAAACTATCTTCTAAGCCTCCCCTTTCACAAACAGTATGCTGCAGACTGCCACGTCTCGGGCTGTGACCAGGTCGAAAACCAGTTTTCTTTCTTCATTTATGATTCCTACTCCCCTATCTCCGTAGATCCTCTAAAGCTCTTTCTTTCACTGAAACAATTAAATCACCTGCTACTGTAAGACAGTCCACCACCGGAACAGATCTGCTTGCGCCGTCAACGCTTCGATTGTACCCATGCTGTTCGTACACGGAACATTTGTTTTGCCGTGCACACCTAGATATTACTATCCAGTGTCACTCCTTCGGTTACTTCTCCTTGCCACACAACTGGTCCTGTGGGCAGCGGAGGGAGACTCCCAAAGACTCCGCCATTGCTGCAGCCACTCAGTTTCGTTTGGAGTCTACTCCATTGCATAGAGCTCGATACCTGCCCCTATTTATCTGATCTTTACTCCTATTCATCTTTTCGGAAGGTGCTGGTTCTATATGTTCATCAAAGCAGCAAGTCGTCGAATTACTTCTCAGGGAGCAATTTGACGTTTAGAGTCCAAATTCGAAATAATTTCCTTAACCGAGCTCGATCGGGCGGAAGTGGTGTAGAGGCAAGTGGAGCACTTCATCCACGCATGGTCACGGATTCGAATCCTGCATCGATATCCAAGCCAATCGAGCCTTCCATCCCTCCGGGGTCGGTGAATTGGTACCAGACTCGTCTGGGAAGATAAAAGCACTGAATGGTACATCGGCTGGCCACCGCAAGTCATTGTATAGGCCACATATGCATTCAATACGCCACTACGATCCTGAATAGAAGTCGAATGCGCGGGCGAACCCCTCTGATGGGCTTGTCTAACGTAGACTTTAAGACTTTAGAATAGACCTTAGAATTAGAATAGAAAGACTTTAGAATATCCGAGCTCGTCCAATCCTCGATAGCTCCACATACTGTCCACAGAACTGGGTTGGGAAGCGTGTGCGCCACTTTCATGTAACGTTCCCGCTTACCGCTGAATACTTCGAGACCTTATGCATATTACTTGTGACTGGGTCTCTCCATCAGCCGGCCTGCCAACCTAGGCCAGACACTTATGATGATGCGAATTTTGAACGGCATGGTTTCTGCCGCGTCAGCAATCGAACTAATGTCTTGAGTTGAGATATGAAGCTGCCCCTTACAGCGGCAATTCCTGCCTAAAAAGGTTAAAAAAATAAACTGAATATCAAGTACATTCACCGAGTCGACCGATCTCATGAAATTCTAAATTCAAGTGAATTTGCGTGTGAGAATAACAAATATACGGTCAGTCCATTTCTAAAAATAGTTTCTGACTGTCGTGCTTCAAAAGAACTTTCAGACTTGAAGTGTCACAGGTAAAAAATGGACCTTCACTCTCAATCCAGTTCACTTAGTTCTCCGGAATACGCATTCGAAAAGCTCATTTGTTCATAGTAACACACCTTTGAGACTTTCACTGAGTTAGACAGCATCTTCGCCCGACATTCCTTTAATCTCGCCAGCAATTTGAGTTCCTCTGCACTTAGCTTCTGATTCTCCGTTAAGCGCACAGAAAGCTGGAATTCAAGAGATAAAAATAAAATAGTAATTGATGTTTTTCGATATCTTGACGTACAGATACTAATAATTAATACACCACGATATCAAATAAAAAGAGGATAATTATTTTTAGTCGGGTGAGCTGAGGCATTTTAATATTATTTCCTCCTTATTATAAAAAAAAACAAAATAGTCCGCTATATAAATATTTTAAAGGCAAAAAGCAAAATTCTGCATCCGGAATTCCTCATTATTTTGCTGAGGGGCCTATCGTGATTGTCGAGAGTTACGGTAAGTCCGCAAGGGAACGAGAAAGAGTTTCGCGTAGTTCGACACCTTTTCAGATTTTTAACTCAAATTCTCATTATTACATCTGAAGGTTATCATTTCCATGCATTTTTCCATCACTTCGATTTCTTGAGAAGCTATGACGTTATAATACAGCTTTTCCAAGCTTTTTACGTGAAAAATGGTCTCTGGGACTTCCCCCTGAGCTGAATTTGTCACCTCTAAGGATAGCCCACGGGATGATGCTAGATTGAAACATAGTCAAGATAGGGCTTCAATGGGTCTCTTAAACCGGCTCAACCGACATACATACCTAAAGCGGACGAGTTGTTGAGCATTGTAAAGCTGTAGAGGTTGCACCGTTCGCACTGGAACCCACACTTTGCACACAGGCAGAATTGCAGCCAGCTGTATGATATGGTGCGCGCAATCCAAAAACCCTCTCCATGCAACTTTTCTCGTAACATTTTTGTCCAACCCCTAATTTTACTTATTTATTAAAGGCTTATATCTTTCTGGAAATGGGTATGCCGGTTTTCTTTGCTACTTTTGCACTGTTGTGAAGTATCACTTCCACTACTCGGCTAGAACGTGGTAACCCAAAATTGTCGTGAAAACATAATAACTGAGGAATGGCTCAAAAATGAAAAAAACATTTAAGCTAAAATAGGACATTACCTTATCGACTCGCGACAGCGTCTTCGACACATCGGTGCGCAACTGCTCATTCTTCTCTCTAAGGCTAACATTCTGACGAAATACCTGAACTTATGACTATGTGATCGGCAAAAGGGCACTAAACAAAAATAAATACATTTTCGCACATTCGAATTTTTTCAGCACTGTTTTGCCACACAATTCGTAGGAGCCTGCGAACATTCAAACCCACGTTGCAGGCCCTTTTGCAGTAGTGTCACTAATTGTTACAAACCTACGTGAAAGATGTGGAAAAACTATGGTCAGCGATCAGAATGAGAAAAGGAAGATGCAACTCGAGGTTTGAAAGTAGGAAAGTGATGGGGGAAATCGCATCAAACCTGAATAGGTTGAAGCGACAAGCATAAGGTCTGTGTAGCTTGCAGATTCAAGAATGAAAAGAGTGGAAGGAATAAAGGAAAAGACAGAAAAGAAGGAAAAGAGGTGATGAAAAATAGCGCTTTTATTGGGATAAAGTGGTGAATCTCAAAGAGAATTAGACGAATAATTTGGGAGGGCCGGCAAATGAACAGGCGTTCGAACTACACCCAAGTACATTCGTTTATATGAGTTAGCAGACTTTATTCACGGGGGTTCTTTCACCTGAAGCATCTCGAGCCGACTGGGGCCATAGCAGGCTGTTCAAAAGTAGAAGAACTAATATGGCGTTTTGAACTACCAATGCTTGCATCAGAAGCGCGCAGCAATGATCTGATGAAGCATGCTAGGATGATCAAGTACGACGTCTTCTGGCTGACCGAGATGAGGAGGCATCGATCCCATCTGCCAATATCAGGCTACTAAGGAGTGAAGCTGGAAGCAATTTAGATAAACCTGAAAAAAAGCCCTACAGAGAGAGCCATGCATTCTTCGGGACCATGGCTGGTGATTTTAAGGCCACGAATGGCCCTAGAAGAACGGCTGACTAACTTTACATTGTGTCCAAAGGGGCCGATGCCATCCGGTGTAATTCGCAATTCTGAAAGCCTTTTCGTTCGCGATGCAGTAAAAAAGAAGCATGTTCAGTAAATCCACTCGAAAAGAAACCACATAACCCTGACCCACTTTGCGTCTAGTCTTCTGGAGTTGATGCGTCTTCACCAGCTGATGCATTATTACCCGCATGATGGTCCTGTTAATCAAACTGCGTGACCTCCCGACAGCTGGTTGGGAACATATCAGAACATCATTCAAAACTTTAGGTTTCCAAAAGCATCTTCTCGTAACTCGATAACGTAGGAATCAAGAACCCTCGGATACGGAAGCCTATTGTTCCAAGATGATCTATCCACACTACAAAGACTGATGCTAAGCTCTTAGTTGATACTACGACTCTGTGGAAGACACTCATTACGCTCATGCGAAAAATTGCTAGAACGCCTTACGTCTCCATGAATACACAGAACAGAAGGTGTGTACGCGAAGTCCCTTCCACTTCTAATAAAGGTAGGATACACACACAAGTATGTGTATAACGTTCGACTCAGAATCATAAAATTGTGCTCGGATGTTGTGATATCTCTCGAAAAATGAAGCAGGGGGGAAACCGAGCTATAGCAGGTATGATCTTCAGATAAGTTGCCAGAAATAGCGATCAATATAAAGGAAAAAAAGGCTAGGTCCCCTTATGACACATCACATAGCTCATAGATGAAAAGGCTAGGTCTCGGAAACTGAGACGCAAGAGAGCCTTGAAGCAAGATTATGAGGAGAAGAGCTTGAGTCCAAAGTAGGCGCATTCTTACTGCTGCGCTAACGACACGTCAAGACATCGGGACTATAAATGCGGTCAGTATAGTGCAACGTGCAGGCATAAAAAATTGTATTTGAGGCACTCCAATTCGAAGAACGGGTCCAAAAATAATCAATCCGAGCGGAAAATGTCTGGCATTGGTGAGTGCAGGTGTTGCACTTCGCTACGAGACCGTCTAATTTTCACTGCGAAAACTAGTGATAGGGTCTTGTTTGTAGGTTTACATAATTCAATGAGCTTGTAAAAGGTACAACCTCTGAACAGTCGATAAAGCATACAATCTATGTTCTATTGAAGTTTGAATGTATCTGTTTTGAAATTTATGACCAGAAAAAGGCCAATCTATGAGCGATACTAACAAGTTCGTGTGCAGTTGCAGTCTTTAGACAGCATAATTGCAGAATATCCGAATTCTCTCACCTGTAAAAGCCGCTGGTTCAAAATACTTTGTCTTTCTGCTAATTGAGCTGCGAAAGTAACGAGAACGTTAAGCCTGAAAATCAGTATCTGAAGATGATCTCGTTCCATGCAGTGTTGCTTATGGGACTCGCATTTCCGCTTTACGTATGTATGTGGATGGACTGTGGAGTTTTTTTTTTTTTNTGTAAAAGCCGCTGGTTCAAAATACTTTGTCTTTCTGCTAATTGAGCTGCGAAAGTAACGAGAACGTTAAGCCTGAAAATCAGTATCTGAAGATGATTCGATCTAATTAAACAAAATTATCAGGCGAGCGAGCGAAATTATCAAATTCTGAATGGAAGTCGAGTGCGGGGGCGCATCCCTCAGACGGGATTGATTAACGCCAAAACTTTATCTTTATCCTTTATCAAGCGCCCAGTGCCTAAATCACTTGCACACCTCAAAAGGCTCTTGACCCAACGCTGGTATTAATTGTTCCTTTGTCTACAATATTGTTTTTTTTTCACATTTTGTTTTACTCTTGTACTTCACTTCTTCGTTATATTATAGCTTTTTTCTACCACTTGTTTTTTTGGTACAGTAACTACGCATAAGTTAGTTCTTCGGTCGATTTTTATTCTTTTGAGTTGCTTTTGCTTGTTTCCCGTTGTTCATTTTCACACGAATCAGTCGTGTAATAAATCAAATCAAAACAAATCCATACAGTGTTGCTTATGGGACTTGCATTTCCGCTTTACGTATGTATGTGGATGGACTGTGGAGTTTTTTTTTTTTTTGCCTCAAGTGTTACATGCACACATAGACATGATAAATCACTCAATAATGTAAGGAAGAAGGAAACATACCTGTCTTGACTCATTTCCAGTGCGGCTCTCAAAACTATCTGATTTTTGTGAGCACAATCGAAAAAGTCAGCAAGGTTTTTCAACTGCTCCTGATAAGATGGAGCTTTTCTGAAATGAACTAGCATGAGGGAAAAACACATCTTCGAACATTCTCAGCAAGGTCTTCCAAGCAAAATCTGTCAGCCACCGAAAGTAGTATTATAATTTTATGTGTTAACAAGGATTTTAGATGGAACATCAATTATTACTAGCTCTTTCAATAGAATCGTCTTCATTGACGACCGAACGTAAATCAACATTCAGAAGTGGTCATTAGACCGCCAAAGGCTTCTTCACTCACGCTTATCGGCAGAAAAGTTGGAAAGAAACAGCCAAACATTCTAGGGAAGAAGTAGCCACACTCCACCACTGCGTTAGGGGATACTAGTGTTTTTGGTTTGCTTCTGATTTGAAAAGACACAGGGTCAGTGAATGAAGTGGGGTTTCCATACTGTTCAACCACGAGTGGTGCCGTTTCACTTCCGAACGAAAAATCCACCTCAAAACCCCGAATTCCCAGTTTATGAAACCCGAGAAGAATATCTACCGCTATTCAAAGTTTCCATTTTATTTCTAAGTCTTTACGGTTTAGAATGAAGTTCAGGCTTCCAAAGAGAGATGCCTCTGGCACTACGGGTAGTTTTGGTTTCCTTGCTCAACAAATCGTTTTTCTGGAATTGACTTCTCCAACACGAATTTCTGAACGACCCTTTTTGTTAAGCATAAATTGTACTCAAAAGTCCCTCTTTTGAATCAAAATTCAAGTAGCGTCAACCTTTTTTCAACTACAAGTGAAGCATATTCTGATTACATTTTCGTCATAATTTGGATTGAATTTGAGGCCCTTACAGTACATCACTATCATCAAGTGGTGCTAGAGTAATACATCGTCACATTGTGACTACATCAATGTGAGAATAAAAGGAAACTATTTGCTGATACAACGGCGATAGAGGCAGAGACAGTTTCTCTATGACAATGGCCATCAAGGAGTGCAAATTTTATGAAAAAGGGAAACTATGGAATGAAACAACAAGGAAGAACAGAGGAAATGAGACCGATTAGAAAAAGAGAACAACTCACAAAATTGGAGTAAGGGCCTTTCTTTTAGAAAGTATAGTATTCAAAACTTTCTCGTTTACGTTCAATCGCATGTCTTTGGGAACCACCGACTGCTCAGAATCGGGAATCTGGGAACCCGTAACTGTTTGCCTGAAATTTCATAGAGAAGTGAGTTTCAAGTGATAGCTAACCCACTATTATTTGAATTGACAAATATTACGAAATGAGCAAAACTTACTTCAAAAAAGCAGTCGCCAGTGGTGGATCCTGAGTGCAAGCAATGAACATAATTGTACTCGCCCGAGGGTTCGTCGACTTACAGAGGAGTCCTACAGCACGTTCCTGGGCAGGACAGAGAGAGTGCGGCAACTCCGTTTTCTCTTGATGATGCAATGTAGATATCAGTTCACGAGTAACAGTACCCTTCAAGGTTGATGCAGTTTTACCGGTTCTGAAAAGCCATTCAAAACACCAAGAAATGAAACCAGTAGATAAGCCATAGAAAACTTACCCTGGCTCGCCGAGTGCATCCGCATAGTCCTGAAGCCAAGAGGAAAGGTCTATATGGTAAACGGTAGATTCATTGGCAACGAGGATAGTGGATTCAAAACTATCAGTACATAAACTCCACGAACTACTTTGCGGTAGCTGTAGTTGTTCATGAAGGAAAAGACTGAAGAAAGACCTTCCGAAAGGGTTTTTTCATTGTAATCAAATTCTCCACCTGTAACTCGCATGTTCATCGGGCACCGCTACGACAAAACAGATCGCATTACTGGCGGAGAGGACCGCGAAAACAGAGAAGAGCTGAAAGGATACGCAATCTCCACAAGAAATAAAGGATTACCATCAAAAACCTACATCACTCATAGGATGATCAACGAGTCTGAGATCGACTGGATCGCATGGCAAATTCGACGGAGGAATAAGAGGACGAGTCAAAGCAGGCGTGGTTGCTGAAATGAATGTGGTTACAGCTCTATTTTCTCAATCAAGTCTACAATTCTACTCCCACATGCAATAGATTACTTTACTTTTACACCACCATCACTTCCCACGCGCACTCAACGAGAATATTTTACAAAGGATCGAAAGAGGAACAAATAATATGAGAAAAAAGGACGGAAAAAGGGATCAGTGACATACGTAGATTTCAAATTACTGAGGAAGAAAACAACGATCAAAACATACTGTTGATATTTATCACTGTAGAATACATTTCGCCCTCAGAATCAATAGCAATCACAACTGGAGCTTCATCAGGTTCGACTATGCAGTCAAAAGAAACTGAAAATATCTTAAAAATAAGTAGAAAGTCAGATACCAGACCTGCAGTTGGGTCTGTAGGTTATGGAAGAGAGTAGGCTGTGAATAGACCAAATTACTCAGCAGAAAAAACGGAATAACCTATCGATTTGAAGAAACCATAGCTATTAGAACCATATCCATCACATGTACGATCACTTGCGCACATAAACGAAGCATAATCTATCGTTGCAAATGGTATATCGCATATATTATCAGCTTGATATATCCTGAAAGAGAGTGAGACGATCGAAACAATTGCAAAGCAAAAGGCTAAAACATTAGAAAACATGGGAGCGGCACCTTATGCGATTATCACTGAAGAGAACTGCCAGCAAGTGCACGGATGAACTCATGGAATCCATCAGAATCCACCTGAGTCGGAGTACTTTGGGCGGCCTTGGTGAATCAAAAAGGGTCGGGTGCACTTCTTGAACTCTGTACGTTGGATAAAGTCAGCGAATGGAACATTAGGACTCTATGAATGATTCCAAGTGAAACGTAGTACTAACTCGCAAATATATTGATTATAGGGAACGTTGCCATCTGCTTTTGAGATCCATAAATCTGTGGAAATCCGTACTATAAAAAGACAATTTGCAGACGAAAGTACGGCCAAAGAGCCGTCATGCATGACCGACATAGAAGTAATTTCGACATCATCAGGCAGGCTCGGTGAAAGAATGACTTTCTGAAAGTGATTTCTGTAAACCAAACTGAGCTTCTGCTTTGAAAACTATCCAGGGAGTAGCTCCAGCTTTGGTTTAGTGAAGATTCATGAAAATTTTGAAAATATTATTCGCCATTGCTTGATCTACTATAGTTTCTACTCGAAAAACCATTACATTCCGTCAGTCTAGCACTGTCTAGTACCGTATCATTGGAGCTTTCAGGCAATACAGGAACGAAAAATCAGTCCGGCACTCGGTTCTTACAGTAATCCGGCACGTGTTGATACGCATATTTTTACCCGTCACATATACGACGCGTCGAAAAGAGGCTTTGGGCAAGGACACGGGG